TCAGGTAGTTGTGGTGTAATAGTCCTGGACGATGAATCACATAGGTAGCCCAGCACTTTGTCATCATTCTGAAACTCAAGCATCACAGGTGGTCGATAAAATTCCAGGGAAAGAAAATTCCTGAGCACCGGTGATTGCGGGGCAGAATCACGTAGCAGGATGAAGCGATTGTCGACATAACGCTCGTGCCAGATCACCCCGACATCGGGCATGCGAAAACGTAGAGAGCACATTGTTTGGTGCCAGAAGAAGTCCTCCACCGTGGCAACCAGATTGCAGAGAGGGGGTGCTGCAGGTGATCCCATAGCGACTCCACGTTCTTGCCGGAACAAATAGCCATTGATCTCGAAGTGACTGTTATCAATGACAAAGTCAAGGAGGCATCGAAGATCTTGTTCACGAAAGGTTCGAGGAACCTTAGTTTGACGGCGCCATTTTCCTTTGAACATACGGCGTCGATGATCTGACTTCAATTCGTACACCGACCATTGTGAGGATCGGCGGAGGCCAACTACTTGATCATAACGATGAAGAAGCACCTGTAGTGCCTGATGGAAACGCTCCGTGGGAATGGATGTGAAGAAACCGGAAAGGTCCTGAGACACCAGGTGGATGTATTCGGCGGGATCTGTTTTTGACAGCGCGTCCCAAAGCTGTTGGACAAGCTCCTGAACCGAAAGCTGACCTGGTATGTCTGGAAAGGTGACTTAGACTTTGGTAAGTTCAAATATGAGGGCACCGAAGACCGTGAGGAAGGGTGCTGCCCACGTGCGAAAGAAAGAAATGATCGGTCTTGCTTTCTGCCAGTCCTTGGTCGGTTTGGGAAGGATGCGGGCTGTAGGCAACGGTGCTTGGAGTCGAAGTCCCCACGCGTAACGCTGATGTAGGAGAGAAGGTATCGTAGTGACCACTTCTGAGCGAAAGGATGCTGCAGATTCACGACACAGCGAAAAGACTTCTCCCGCGCAAAAGGTCTTGTGCATCAGTCTGGCAAACAACGAAGGACAAATCACATGTGCACGAGAGGGAAAATGATCCGCTGGGATTACAACCCACGAGGACAGAGAAACCACGGTGCGCTGTAGTGATTCGGATGTCCAGTGAGCACGATCATGAAGGTTGGAGCGATGGGCATCAATCAACTGAGTCATAACAGGCCGTAGATCAGTAAGGAGACTGGATCCATGTACATGCCACCGACGAGCTAGTTTGCGAAGCTGTGTGGTAAAACGCTGATGCAGCATGTCAACATCGCCAAAATATTGATGCTTCATGGACGCGGTCATGATGTCAATGTCGATGTCTGCATTGATGCGTGAGAACTCATCTACCATGACTACATGTTCATGTGCACGATGTAGGAGGTGGTCATCAATGTCTGAACAGCGACACGGAAAAGATATGTCAGGAGTCCACCTGCGTTGCCATGTGCGGTAGTTGTAGATCCTGTCCCCCAAGGTAGCACTGCGAGTTTCCACCACCCGGATCTTTGGAAGAAATAGGGAGGGAAACAAGTCACGATGCGAAGCAACCCAACGTTGTAACCATGTGCCAAGCGGAGCTTTCCAATTCCGTACATGTAGAGGTGGGAGAAGTAGTTGTGTCAAAGTGCTTGGTGATTGAAGTTGTCGTTTGTGCATTACCTGCAGAGCTTCTGTGCCTTAGAACGAAAAGGCTCGTTGACGAAGACGCAGAGTCGTAGGAAGTAGTAGAGCTGAGTAGGTGGAAAAGCCGCCGACAGTAAGTCTCGCATAGCCTGGAACGACGCACCTGTGTTGGATCCCAGCTGATAAAGAGTGGAGTAATGCGCTTGAATGTCATCCAACATTTCAGGTCGTAATTGCCGTTGAAGATCCGGATGTAGTCGTCGTCGAAAACGTTTGTGTAGCCCGAGTGAGGTGGGAGATGACAACGAATGACGCCGAAAGTCAACCAGATGCTCACGGAAGCCAATTTTTCGAAGAAGTCTATGTACCCAGGGAGCATTCAAATGCGGACGTAGCAAGTATTGCCACTTGCTTTCCTGGACCCAAACCGAGGAAATGGGAAGTTTGATCTGGCACAGAAAAGCCAGTAAGTGTTGGATCGCTTCCAGTAGTGAAGTGCAGGTTCGAAGAAGGCATGGCGTCCCCGAAGTAGTTGTAGAAATTTGCGACTGCGTGAGTGTTCTCGTCGAAGAACATCCTGATCAGTTGCTCCAACGTAGTATGGACTGTGCCATGGAGAAAGTCTGATGTAGGCGCATGGTTGTTGATGGTGACCTGGATCTTGAATGAAGTCATAGAGGTCCGGGAAACGTGTCCGTAGTGAGCGAAGGTGTCTTGTATCCGCAAAAGTGGAATGCATGATTTCACACAACAGACACGTCTTGTAGAAGTGAAGAACCTCGAAAAACGGCGGGACATACCCATAATCTTGAGAAATGAGACGCTGCAAGAAACTGATCAATAAATAGGCAGTGCACCGGCACCTGTGAAGTTCATACCTGTTGGCCACAGTGTGATAAGACTGCGACATGGAGTGAATCGGGATCTGAAGTGCGATCCGAACCACAACTAGTACTTCCAGAATAAGGCCCAGCCAAGGTAGCCGCTCAACTGGCTCATATTCATCCATTGGTATCGACGGTGGTGGAAGTCCAGGAAAGCAGTATTGCCAGCACGTAGAGAACATTGTCAACGAGTGCAGAAAGGTATCTAAGGAATGCCATTGTGCAACATCATCATAGATTCCACAGCGGCGAAGCTCAGCCAACATGGTGAACATGCAACCAATGAAATCTACAATGTGGCGGCGACAGGAATGCAAGCGGCAATTAACACCAAGCAATTCACAACGCAAGCAAAGACAAGCGCATCATCAAACAAGTGCAGAGCAAGAAGAGGACGGACAAGTTTTGAACCATTCATCAATCATGACACAGCTGCCACTCCGGGCTCATAAGTGAACGAAGGTAACTGCTCACCCTGTGAGTAAGCGGGCAGTCACGATGAGGTGACACAACGCCTTGTCAGTGAGCTTGGTGAGGTAGCCAGGCTCCAGTCCCCACAGAGCCGCCATCGCCCCAAACGTAGGTGCGTCTCCTTTTGGGATGCGTTGACGCGCCTGAAAGAGCGGGGTCGACATGGATTCCAAGGACTTGTTGCCGTTGAGACGGGATGGGTGATTGGCCCACTTGATCAATGACGCCAAAGTAGTGGTAGTGGGCGATTGCTTGAGATACAAGCGTGGTTGATCACTAGTCCATGTGTAGTACTTGATGACGTCTTCAGGCGTGCTGTGCATGGTGAGCAATTGTGACGCCGCCGGCTTGGAAGGCGGTGAAGAAAGTCCGTGCAGAGACTGGATGATTCGGGGTTGCACTGCGCCATCAAATGACTTGCCATCAAGGGCTGCTGCACTGACCGTAGGTAGGGAGCTGGTCGGTGACGAAGATTGTGTGTGATTGGTGGGTGGTGGTGTGACCAACTCTGCATCATCCTTCTGGGTTGGCACCGTAGGGGAAGTCGATACGCGTAGCGATGCCGAATACTGAGCCTGTAGCAACTCATGAGCTCGATTTAGATCATTGAACTTCTTGACCATGTCTTCCGTTGGGTAGAGGGCGTGAGAGTCGCGTGTTGCTGCTGAAGGAACTGAAGCACCAAGTTGGCCAAATGGTCATGAACCTTGATCAGGCGAACGTCACGAATGTCCACGCCGGACATGTCACGTAGGTTGTTGCGCGGGGTGTTGGCGACCGTCATGGGCAGGCTGAAGTTGTAGAGCTGGTTGATGTCTAGCATGCCATCTCCAGGTGTCCAGTCAACCGGTGGTGTAAGCCATGCTTTCTGAGGTCGAACTGGCAGGGCTGCAGGGTATCCAGGCGATGGTGTAGCTTGAGAAGGAGTGACCGGTGGTGGCATCACGGGCGTCATGAACTTCGCTGGCGTGGGCTCTGGAGGAACCGGCATCATGTAGTTGACCGGTGAATGATGGAACTGCTGCGTGGGGTTTGGAATCGATTGATAATTGCCTGGCATCATCGGAAAATTGCTGCTGGAGTTGTAGCCTGAATTGTGTTGCCAGGATACCAGGTTGTTCCAATCCGTGCCCTCCGAGACCTGATTGTCATTGTGTTCGCGTCGGCGTGCTTTGCGAGCTTGAGGGGAAGGGCTCCGATCCCGTCTGCGCCGTGTTCTGGATCTGTCACGATCATCCCGTCGAGACATGATGGCACAACAAACTCAAAACTGCGACACCTCAATCTTGAGAGAATCGAATCCGACAAGATGCAAGTCAACGCAAGTTCAAGCCAAGCACAGATCAACACGCGGTCATGCAGCCACCAGCAGCGATTGTGAGACTTAGCTATGATCTGACGGCTGTCTTCCCTTTAGTGAAACCTCGTTCCTGGTTAAATCAGAAATTCCGCTGATCTATGATAAGCACGTTGAGGTCAAATTTTCCGACAGAGCCGGCCCGGGGTCACACAATGGGTACACCCGAGGATTCCCCACGAATGGGGTGTACACACTTAAACTCCAGATGGAGGGTGCTAATCTTTTGAGTACAACTGATGAGTCTCGAGTACAACTGATGAGTCTCGAGTATGATGAGTTTCGGCTCGCAAGACGCTTGGTTTCCGCGGGCAAAGAGGGGACCTTGTTGGGGTGAGGCCTCTGGCTGCCCACGACGGGGCCCAAGAGCGACTCGATGCAGGTACATAGCTGAGCGTCCCCAGCCACCTCCCTTCCAGTGACCTAGCTTCGTTGGATCAGGTCAGTCACTGGAAGCCTGATCCCCCTGCTACTAATTGTGGTGACAGGGTATTCTGCCACTCCGCACACACACACACATGTTTCCGTGTTTTTTTTGGCAAATTAAATGCGAGGCGTAGTGCAAAGACCAACTGCGAGTCGCAGCCCCGTTTCATCCTGTACATGTTCCCTTGGAATCCGGAACCATGGACTCGGACCAGGCCCATGTTCAACCGTTTCCATGGGTTGTCGTGAGCCAAGGCTCTCGAATTTACTACGGCGCCTTGGCTGCTCTTTGGAGTTGAGCCGCAGCCAATTTGAGCAAAAAGGGCCGCTGTTTTTTGTGGTTTTTGCGTTTGAACGCAGTGCTGGTCTTTGTGTCTCCCAAGCTTTTCAAGCAGGATGCCCTGCTTAATGCTAACCCCCATATGGAATTACCCCTGTTTATGAATAGGTGTCCCCGGGTTTAGGGTTGATTTGGGGTCAACATTAGTTGACTGCGAAAGCAAAAAGGTGATCCAAGGAGCGCCAAGCCCGGCCCAATCTCCATGTTCCAAAGCCAAGGAATTTCACCTGGGCTTTGAGGCAAAAAAGCGCAGCTCCCCATGGAGGATGGTGTGGTTCGGTGCCCAGAAAACACACCTGGCAAGGAGAGCGCCCACACAGGTGGCTCTTCTGATTTTATGGGGTATTTGAGGCCAATACAAACCTTTAGACACAAATGTCAGCGAAGCAACAAGTGGTTATAACTTTCAACATAAAACCTTCACAAGAAGGCCGAAGAGTTAGAGCCAAGTTTTCGCTCGGGTCCGAGGTGGCTACACCGTGCCCTACGACATCTCGGCGGCTTTGCTGGTCGTCGGCTTTCTGCTGATTGCCAGCCTGTGGAATGAGAACTACGGGTGTCAATCTGAGCTTGGCCGCTCGAAGCCAAAGCCACGGGTAAGCCACGGTAAGCGTCGTAGGTCGTCGTGTTCTGAAAAAAATGATGCCCCACCCGGGGTTTTGGGTACTTAGCGGTTTCCAGCTGTCCGGTTCCTGGAGTTTAGTTTTGATATGTTTTGATTTGGTTTCGTGGTTGGGTTTCCAACAAATTGGTTGGGTTTCCAACAAATTGGTTGGGTTTCCAACAAATTAACCAACTGTAAACGGATGTATTTTCCTGAAAACAGATGCCATCCCAGCGGAAAAACGGGGGCGGGATCAGAGCCAAAAGGGGTGCTCCACAACCAACCCCCACCCCCCCCCGCCCCGCCAAAAGCGGGAAGAACAGCACTGTTTTGCCTCACAGGTGGAGTCAGCGAGCCGGCCAAACAGGGGCTTAAGTGTTTGAAGTTTGGTGGCACCCCGCAAAACGGTTTAAACGGGTTGAAGCCTTTTGCTAAGCGAACCATGTAAAAGATAAGAGACCAAACCTCCGTTCACGGCTAGAAAAAGGTTTGGTTCCCCCGAGGAAATATTTCCGAGCCTCGGGGTTCGTGCGTGTTTTGGTTTTTGCTCAATGGGGTGCTGTCTTGGAATACCGCAGGATTCGAAACTGGCGGTTGTCCATTTGGCTTCCCGTTAAACCAACCGGAAAAGGGCCCCTTCAACAACTACGCACTCGAATATCGCCAGTGGGAAACCGCCAATCCAGCATTTTGGTGGGAACAGGGAGTCAAGCAGTTGAATCATAGAACTTCCTGTATGTTTTTTTGGAGACCGACGGGCCTTCTGACAGCGAATCAGCACACTTCCAAGGTCCCAAAAGGTAGTCTCTTCTTTCCATGCTCTCTGGGCTCGAAGCTTTGCTTTGATGAGCCATCAAGATGTGTCAATAATTGTCCTGCAAAGGATCCTTGGGAAAAGAATGGGGGAAGATAGTCGAGACATTGTTTGAGTCTGCTCAAATTGGCCCCAAAGTAAAACTTAACACGCATCAAGGCGTTGTACTTTGTTTTGGCAGGTCTCAAGCCTGCTCAGATCTGGTGGTTTGCCACTTGCCAGTACTCTTCTACGACTGCTTGTTTGCCACATGCAACGAAATCAATGCGTGCTTTTTGGACACTTCGGGCTTCGAAGATGGGAGTTGAAGGTGGCGTTTTTTGATCGGTGACTGGGTTTTGCCAGGAAACCAGGGCTACCGGATCTTGGGCCGGCATCGCCCGCCTTTTTCCCTAGAGCTCGCTGAGGGGCTAAAATTCAATCATGGGTACCAGCCATCCGGGTCAACTTGGGTGTTCAGTTGCTTTTTCAGTTGGTTCCGTGAGTTTTGGTGCTTGGGTGTCCATTTCACAAACAAGTCCGTCGCTTTTAGGGATCAGTTTGGGGATCAGAAAAGAGACGGCCCAGATTCTAGGAAAGGACTTGCTGATGAGGGAATGACCCCGAAGTAAACCAAGCCAACTGGTGGTTTCCTCCTAAGTCAATCCCTGCCTCTCCTTCCCTGCCGATTTCGCAGCAAGAAAAGGCGACAGCAAGTTTGGGTGTTGGGGCTTTCCTGCGCGCGCAGGCAGGCCCTTGATGCAGGACGCCTTGCACGCGCTGGTCAAGGACAGCCATCGGCAATCATCGGGGCGGTGCAGTGGCATTATCCCTTCACCAGAATTAGCTCCCCTGTTTGCTTTTTTGCTTTTTTGGGGTTCCCTTTGTTTTCCACCAACCAGGCATTTGTTTTTTTTGCTGGGGTCCTAATTCCAGCCAAGATCCAAGGCTCGGTTCAGCGTTCTTTGGGCAAGGTTCCCGACACAGGTGTCCTGTTTAGCTGAGTTTGATAAGTAGATCTGGCTCAGATGTTGTTTTTTGGCACATTTACCTGGAAAACTGGTGTTTCTTTTCCAAAACTTGGTGGCTCCATCCGGCTCCTTAGCCTCTTGGCTTTTTAGTGTTTAGTGGCAGTTTCCCATGTAACCCACGAAAGGTTATTCACCTTTTGGTGGGGGAACAGAAATCGGGCAGCCAAAAGGACACCAGGGGCCCCTCCATGCAATGTTTTTCTTTGGCGATTTCGGACGCTGACATGCAGCCTGTTGTTTGGGCCCAACGAGGTGAGTGAAAACGACCAGGGCGCAGAAGGCATGGTGCATGCTTGCTGAGGCCAACCAAGAGTGTCTCAACCATGTTGGCAGCTTGGTTTTTCGCCTCAAAAGGGTTCTGGGGTCCCTGCATTTGAGCCCGCTTTTTTTTTCTGGAGGGATTGCATGGACCTTTGGTCGGCGGCTTCTTGGGCCTTGATTTAACCTTGAGAACATCATCGACTGCTAGGATCTTCGGTCGGATCCAATGGTGGTTGGGGCCCCCAAATCAATGGTGGAGAGGCTCAAAAGCCGTGTGGTGAGCCTCATGTTTCATTTTGGTGGTGGAGTACCTTACACGCCCAATCCAATCATCTTGCTCAGCAGGGAATGAGAAATGGAATGAGCCTGCGGATTCCCAAATAAAGGAAACCACCAGTTGGATTCGATGGTTTTTGTTCGGGCTCATTCCTCAATCCCTGCATCTCTCGCACCAAGTAAGGCACTGGTTTAGCCGGCGTGATTGTTTTCGTTCTTTTGTGGGAACGCCCCCCCCTCCCCCCCCGAGCATGGCATATGAGTTTTTGTGTCTCAACGTAGACGTTGGAACCTTCAAACAAATGATACATATATATATATAATACAAAAACACACACACACACACACAAAAGGGAAAAATAAAACAAACAAATAAAAAACAGGTGTTAGGTGCCTCAACATTGACCTCGGATCCAAAAACCCACCAGCCACGAGGTCGCTTGGGCCTTCGGGACCCAGGCTTTCGGTCGATAGGACAGAAATTGCCGCCGGCTCTGCGCGGTGGTGGCCATCTTCGAAGGCTCCATGCGAACCAGCTGGAAAAGGGCGTCCGTTTTTTTTTTCTCCGGAGTTGGTTCCCTTTTTGGTTGTTGTTGCTTTTTCTTTCTTCTTTTTCCCCGGGACAAAGCAAAGGGACAAAGCAAGGGGAAAGCTGGTGTTCGTGTGTTTGTGGTGTTTTGTTTCTTTGGGAGTTGGAGCCCGTTTTGAGCTGTTGTTAAGGAAAAAGCGTAAAGGGAAAGCCAAATTTGAGAAACCAGCGGTTCAGTCAAAAGAGTTGAAACGGTTGATGCTGAGCGCCAAAGCTGGCGTTGGCAGAAGGTTAGATCTTTCAGGCTCGTCTCGAATTGGGAGTTCCCACTCCTAGAAAGGGGGGTATACCATGGTTGCCTTGCAAACACCCAACAACTGCGCCCTAAAACACACATTGTCCAGCTTGCAAGAGGTTGAATTTCCTCTATCATCAAGAAGACTTGGGGGCTCCATATCCGAGTCGATGTCCGAGTTGTTCGGTGGTTGGTGATGTGTATAGCTTGGACATGTTTGGGAACCTTGGTTGAAGTCGAACAGTTGGACCCCCACCATTTGTTGGTCCAAATAGATGTTTGTGTTTTCGTATCTTGCGGTTTCATGTCTCCTCCAGAATGCTTGGTTTCCCATTGGCTTCCCTTGCAAACCGACCAAGCGCGGGGTTCCCCCTCAAAACTGGCGACTGGGTGCCGGTCGCGAAGCCGAATCCGAAGCAAGGTACATCTTTGTGTCCAACTGGACCCCAGCATTGGAATCCAAGGACCGGTGCTCGCCAGCCTTGCTGTGTGGGTGGAATTGGGACCCTTCCGCCTTTTTGGGGCTCACGAAATTCTGCCTGACTGTTCTAGGTTCAAGACGTATTCCTTTTGAGACCCTTTTTTTTTGGGTTTCAAAAAGCTTCGACTTGTGTTTTTGCATATCCACGGAAGGACCCATCTAGAATTCAGACCACCTCAGTCGTTTTGGCCGCAAGGCCAAACCTGGGCGGAGCATATTTCTGCCGCCTTGATTTGGGCGCGGGGATAGTCGGCTTTTGGCGACCAACCCATTTTTGTTTGGGAATCTTGTGTTTTTGGCACGAGAAACTCTTTGGAGACATATTGGCCCTTTGGGGCCACTCACTTCCTGAGTTCCTGGACTTTAGTCGCTTTTTAAACTTGGACCATTTTAGGTATAAATAAAAGGTTCGGTTGCTTTGTTGGACGAATCCACTCGATCGGAAGTGAGGTAAGAATAGGCCAAACTTGACTAGATCTCCCAGTAGTGCCCTTCTACCGTTTCTTTTTGGGTTGGGAGGGGTTCCCCTACTAAAGTAGAAAAAAAAGTCGGGTACAAACTTATTCGAACCTCTCAAATCTGGAGGACCTAGTTACTTCGTTTGGCTAATCCGCTCGATCGGAAGCGAGGAAAGAATAGGCCAAGCTTGGGACGACGCAACAAAAATCCTTTCTTTGGTGCATTTTGCCAAGGGACGTTAGGACTGAACAACTTTTATGCCAACTCATGAAACGGTTTTCCGTCTTAAACCACTAAAAGTGAATTTCACTTTTCGCAGGGCTTCGCCCATTTCGCCACCGAAATGGATCCTTCGGAGGAGGTCCCGCCGCCCCACGGGCTGACCTTCGCCCTCTTCATGATGGCCGCCACTTGCGGCTCCTCCGCCCGGATGCCCGGCCCATGGCGCGAAAACCGGTGGTCCGGGTTTCCCTTCTAGGTCCAGCAATTGGTGCCACGTTTCTTTTACCCGTTTCTTTTTGGGGGAGGGTTCCGCTACTCAAATAGATTGCAGAAAAAGTTGGTGCATTTATTCCAACCTCTCTACTGGACCTAGCCTTTCAACCAAGTCCCAGAAGGGGGACAAAAAGAAGACACACCCAAAGAATCCCCAGTGGGTTGGGTTGGGTTGGTATAATTTTCCCCCGGGCAGGTCATACCAGCTAGAAAGCGAGTCTTGATTGTGTGTACAGTTTCGGGGAATGCGAATGAACCACCATTGGAATCAGGTCCTGAAAAGAATTTGAGGTTTGTTCACAGCCCACCTTTTGACCTGGTGGTGTTCCCTTTTTTGCCTCACCATCGGTAAAACCTTCAAACAGATATTAACCGTTTATTTCCTGCAAGAGGGCAAGTGAATATTCAATCTGCAGAAGGTGGATTGTGGCAGATGCAGATGAAAGGGTCCACATTTTGGGAGGCGCCTTTCTTGTCCGCTTCACATAAAAGCTACAAAATGTCAACATCACCGAGCATCCCGGTTTTGAGACATCCTCATGTCAGGCAAAGGGGGTACGGAAAGTCCGTCACTTGGAAAGATGAATTGTGTGGTAAACATCATGTGCTTTTTGGTTGCTCCACTCGTTTGCGAGCAACGGGGACCAAGTTTTTTCTTAGATGCCCGACCTTTCCATTGCGCGGACCACAGTTGCAGCCACAACTTGCGGGTCAGCTGGCAATGAGGGAATGAAGTTGGGGATTCCCGAATAAAGGAAACCGCCGGTTGGATGGTTTATACGGGTCATTCCCTCATTCCCTTCTGAGCACCAGCAACACAAAGCAGCATATTTTCACTTTTGCAGGGCTACCAAAGAAAATCCCTCCCGGCGCGTAAGGGCAGTGGATTCCTCTCGGTGTGGTTTTCATGCTCGAAATTCCTGGGACGGAAACGCAACTTGAATGAGGGCAAAGGTTCCGACTGTTGCTTGAACCAATTGCATTAGGAGTCAGGGGGAATGTTGGTGGTTTATTTATCAGGCGCGGCTTTTGCTCACCGGATTGAAATATGGTTTCTCCTCTGGATTCTGTTGTTGCTTACTCTTTGCTTTTTTGGTTTACTGTCTATATGTGGCGTAGGTCCCAAGAGTGCGTATTTGTTTCTTTCTTTCAGGTGCCCAGTCTAGAAAACGGTTTGGAGGTGGCTTTGTGGATCCACCCCTGCAGGATATTTTCTGCGAGTACTAAAAGAGTACTAAAAAGGAACCTACAGGGGGCAAGACCAGGCGAAATCCACAAAAAGCGCATCCAAACTGTTTTCCAGATAGGCGTGGAGCTTTGCACTCAAGGGTGTCCATCCAGTTCAGGGGTTGTTCGACGTGGCAGCACCTTTCATGGCTGGTCTCAAGAGTGCGACCTTCCCACCTCTTAGGTGATCCCTTTGCTCCCCGGGCACGGGGAGCAACCCGTTTTTGGACTCGCCGTTGGCTGTTCGTCTTTGTGTTGTTTCTCGCCCCAAAAGAAAAATGGGGTTGGATCGTTGGACGGCTTCACACTGCAACCCAAGGATCTCCTCCAAATTGTGTACTGAATATCAGTGGAGCCGGCGACAACGGCGGCGGAGTTCAATCATGTCAGGATGATAGCTAGTGTTTTTTGTTTTTTTCATATTCTAAAAAAGAAAGAAGAAAAAACACATGTTCTCTTCGTCTTTGGATTCTTTCTCGTTTTCTTGCTATCTCTCTCTCTCTCTCTCTCTCTCTCCTTCGTTCTCTGACGTTATATTTGTTTATTTGTTATGTCTTTCATTGTCTTTCTCTTTTGTTATCTTTATTGTTCCTTCTTTATCCTTGTAGTTTTCTCTTTATCGTGTTTATGTTTTTCTTCTTTCTACCTCTCTCTCTCTCTCTGTCTCTCTCTCTCTCTCTCTCTCTCTGTCCGTTTTCTGCCTCTATGTGTCTGTCTTGTTCTCATTCTTCCTTATCTGTACTATGGAATCCTCAGCCCTGTCACGTCGGGGCCCTGCAACGCAAGTGGACGGTGGCTTCAGGCTCCTCACGCAAGGCCAGTCCAAACATGAACCACGGGGGGATGCTGGGTTGAGTGCAAGAAATGACTATGCTGTTCTGTGCCCTTCGCAGTGATGGATGCCAGGTGGAGCTGTTGGAGCATAGCTGGGGACCTATGACACTTTGTGTTTTGCAAAAACAAGAAGTCTCGGACAGTCTCCCAAAAAATCTTGGATGATCAGATGTTGCCTTGATCCTTCCGGGCGCGCTCCGGGCCCGCTCCGAGTCGGTCCGGGATCGCTCCGACCAGGCGTCGCGATCAGGCTAACTTTCGAGAGGTGAAGAAGCCCCGACCTGCGCTTTTCAGAGTCTTCTTGCCTTTTTCTGTCAGAGAGCTAGCAGTGTGGGCCAAGGCATGGGGAAGTGATACATCTATTGATCAACATTATTTGGCAACTTTGATGATTGCAACAAAGTAGCAAATGGTTGCATCACCAAACGCCAAAAACACTCATGATTGAATTCATTTTGGAAGACCAAAATTGGCAGATTTGAGCCTGGCTTGGGGTTGAACGACCGAGGTTGATTTCAAAACCAGCCCCGAGAAATATTAGCATACTTCAGATTAGTTCAAGAAGAGAATATTCTCAATACAGCACCAAACAGGAACGACAATTATTCCAAGTAACTTTCGTAAATCTTTGTAATTTCGGTTCACGTTGCTCGTAAAGCAGGGTTCCTTTTATTCCCGGGCCAATTTCTTGGTGATAGGTCGGAAATGAATCGGGTGCCTATTTTTGGACACCGTGTCAGAATCCGTTTCCTCGTCGGCCCCACCTTGCGGGTGGTTCGCTTGCGATCTTTTGGAAACCGTGCAAAGTACAAGGCATCACTCACTTCCGCAGTTTTGGACTTCAGTCACTTTTATGGTTTGGACCATGTTCACGGCAACCAACATGTTTGGATGTCTGCTTTGGACCATCTCGATCGGAAGTGAGAATCATAAGTTGGATGGTTTCCTTGCAGGTCGCGACCTTGGGCCGATGCCTAAGCGCGGGGCCCCAATTGAGCGGCAGTCCGCCCGTTTTCTTTTCCCCACCTCTCGTTTGGGGGTCCCGTTTTTTTTTTTTCTAGGTTCCCCAGTAGCGCCCTTTTGCCGATTTTTGGGGGAGGGCTCGCCTAGTAAAATAGACTAGAGCAGAAAGGGTACTCTTATTCTAACCTCTCTACTGGAAGACCTAGTTTTTGGTGGCTGGGAACAGCGAAGATGTGTTTGCTTCAGGGTTGCGAACTCTGCTTCTGGTTTCTTCTGTTTGGCCAACCAGCAAGGCGTGAATAAGCGGCCGGCGGCCGGGGACAGTCCCACCAGGAATAAAGAGGAGGTGGGCTTGGCAAACCTCTTGAATACCTAGTGGTGGTTGTGACTTATTTGGGAGCCCGCCGTCGGTTGGCGGTCCAAATGGTCCTGTTTTCCCGCGCATGTTTGTTTTAACTTGGGTCGTGGCCAGCGGCCAGTGGCTACGTGATCGTTTTTGTTTGAGGTACCCTTTGAGTGGTTGGTGTCAAGGAACACCAAATGGAGGCCTACCGTTTTTCGGGGATGTCCGATTTCCATTTTGAGACATGCCCATAATTTGAGCTTTAGCGGCGGATCCACAGAAGTTGCTGGCCAAAGGCCAACCCAGGAGGTGGTTTTCATATCACCATTTGGCTGATTCTTAAGCGTGGCAGCATGTTCTTTGTTTCTTTTTTTGTTTGCAGAAGGCTGAGTTTCTCCAAAAACCACGGTTTTTGCACTCCATTCCTAGTTGTTGCGAAGACCATTTGAGTAGCAAGCAAGCAGTTTATACTTGCTTTGGGCCAACTCACTCAGGATTCCCGACTGATTTGGGCCAGGATTGCTCAGCTCCGACGGATGCCCAAACAACAAAGACGGTAAATGAGTCCCTTTCTGGGGTTGGTATAAAGGGAAACAAACGGAAACCTGTTCGTAGGGTTCCTTATCCTATGTTGAGACAAACCCAACGCTTGGTTTTTTAAAAGGGGTTTTCCTTTTACCAAGTTTCTATGCGGTCGACTTGGTTTCTACGAAACCCTTCGGTTTGTTTGCCTCTTGCATTGTGGTTTGCCCTGGTACGGCTTGCCTGGAAGCGCTGGGTGTTCTTTTGGTCGCCTTGGTTCCCTATGGTTCCTGCTTACGCACGTTCCGTTTGGTTGCAGAAAATATCTTTCAGTTCCACGGATCGGCTTTGGGCGAAGTTGGATCGATTCGATGTCAGGTGCCCTTTTTGGTTGGTTGAAAGCTTTTTTTTCCGGTTTACCGGGTGGTGTATTCAACCAGACCAACAAGGACACCGCAGCAACCTCTAAGACTCCAAGGGGGACCTTTCCATTCGTACCTGAGGACCCCTGTTGCCATTTTTGAGCACCAATTCACAATTTCATGGTGCTAGCTGCTTGATGCCTGGTGTACCTGGTTTCATGTACCAGGCCCATTTGTTTCCACACCAACCAAAAAGTACTCTGCAGAAAGGTGGAACTGAAACACCCATCCTTGGAGCTCCATTTGTACCCGAATCACTCTGTTGCCATTTGGGTTCCCTTCCACCAACCAACATGGAACCTGACCTTCGGGGGGGGGGGGTCCTGGTTTGGACCATCTTGCTCTAACAAGGATCCGTTTTCCTGTAAAGTTCCAGCTGT